AGCACAGGGCACACTGGTGTGTCCAGGTGGGAGCACAGGGCACACTGGTGTGTCCAGGTGGGAGCACAGGGCACACTGGTGTGTCCAGGTGGGAGTACAGGAGTGTGGAAAGAAGCAGGCGAGAGAGGGCGCTTCCCATCGTGCAAGAGAGGCCTCAGAGTCCAGACAAGGAGAAGGAAGACCCAGGCCCATGGAGAGGGCACAGGGAGGTCCCAGGGACAGAAGAAAGGCAAAGAATGTGCACCCCCAAAGTGCGGTATGACACACCTGCAGCTGTGCCAAACCAGGTGGACTGTACAAGGCATCACGAAGCTACATCCAAAGTCAACTTGCTTTTGTTTTGCAGGACTGGGGGCTGAACGCAGGGCCTTCCCCCTGAGCTATGGCCCCAGACCTTTTTTATTTTTTCATTCTGAAACGTGGCCTGGCCCAGGCTGGCCCTGAACTCAATCCTCCTGCCTCAGCCTCCAGGGTTCTGGGATTACAGGTGCGCACCACCACACCCAGCCTGGATTCTTAAATTAGAAAACCCTGCTCCTCACACAGGCAGTGGACGCAAGGCAGGAGTCACAGCCCAGCTCCGCCTTCTCCACGAGAGTTTACTTCAGCTCAGAGCAGCTGGAGTTTTGGAAACACATCAGGTTGACAATGAAGGAAGGGCTCCATCCTCTCCCTCCCACCTGTCATGACCTCACACAGCCATGCACGCCCACTGTCACAGGCACTGTCCTGCACACACCCTGCACACTGTCACACGGTCACTCTCGCATACAGTCAGCCATTCCTGTGTAGCTACACTTTGCTGCAGTCGTTCACACTCAAGGCCATACAACTACACGCCCCTCCACGCTCACACATCTCTGCACATGCACACTCACACTCACACATGAGCTTTCACACCGACGCCCCCAGTCTCGCACACACACTCAAGCCTACAGCGTGACACAGCCTTGCCAGCTCAGACCCCCCCTTAGTCCTACATGAAACCTTCTCCCCGGGGACCCCAGTGTCCAGCACCACTCGGGGTGAGCGCTGCTGCAGCCTCCTTCCCGACCCCTCCCCATCCGGGCCTTGTCCCAGCCTCAGGTGTCTTCATCCTCCTTCCAGCCCCACCCAGGACAGATGACATGGGACAAGCTGTGAGAGTCTATGAACAGCACAAGCAGGAGTCTTCGCACAGCTGCTGGGAACATCAGGCAGTGCAGCCACCGTGGGAAGCGGTTTGGCGGCCACCCAGAAGCTGGCCACAGTTACCCAGGAACCAGCAGTCCCACTCAGGAGGGGGACCTGAAGTGGGCCAGAGGCGTGCCCCCACAAGGACCTTCCTCATGATCTCAGCAGCATCAGCAACAAGGCCAGAGGGTGGAGCAGCCCAGATGCACCATGGGTGAGCGCAGACGCACGTGCGGCAGAAGGGCACAGAGACACCAGCAACACACGTGGGCCTGGGACTGGGACACTAAGTAAAACGGGGCCAGACGCAGAACGCCACATCCAACCATGCGTCAGTGTAGGGCAGATGTCTGCCGGGACAGCGCCGAGGGCCTGGAGGGAGGGGACGGCAGGCGACAGCCAGGTGCTCACCTCATAGCCGGCTGTGAAGGCGGCCAACCGGGCCAGGGACTGCTTGCCAGAGCCGCCCACGCCCACCAGCAGCGCGTGGCCACGGTCCATGCGGATGATGCGGTGTATGCGGGTGAGGTGCTCCAGTGCGTCATCAAACAGGACCAAGTTCATTGGTGTGTTAGTTTCATTATACTCCTCGAGGATTTCCTGATTTTCAGAAAAATACATAAGCAAATGCTGGGGCCAGCGAGATAGCTCAGCAGACTACAGTGCCTGCCTAGGCAAGCTTAGGCAAGCACAGGGACCACAGTTCCATCCTGGGGCACCACGTGCTACCAGCCCTGCCCCCAGGGCGGGCTGAGCAAGGCAGAGTTTGGGTGTGGTGGCGCATGCCTGTAATCTCAGCACTGGGGAGGCTGAAAGCAGGAGGATCACCATGAGTCAAAGCTGTATAGCGAGACCCTGTAACAATAAAAAAAAAAAAAAAAAAAAAAAAAAAAAAAAAAAGACAAAGAATGGACCGAGCTCCCTTCTCTGAACTCCTACAGTGCTTGAAATAATTAAGCCGCCTGGGCTTAACAGGCCAAGTCTGGCTTTCACAATCAGCATTTCCATCTGCTGGTGTTTGATCAGCCAGCAGCGAGTGGCAGCAGATTACAGATGTGTCAGCCACTTGCTCAGACCCTTCCTGCGCCCCAAGCCCTGAGACGAGAGAGATGGAGCAGGACCCCAACGCTGTGCTCCAGGAGGAAGCCAGCGCGACAAGGTAGCTCCAGACCTGGAACAGAGCCTTGGCCGCCTCGTAGTCCTGGATGTCCTCGTAAATGCGTGGCTCCTCCTCTTGCAGAGCCGTCCGGAAGTCCCCAAACAGGATGGGGTCCCTCATCACCATCTCCAAGTCATCAGGGAAGTGTTCCGAAACCAGGTTTCGGATGTGCTCTTGCACCTTGAAATACAAGCACATCCAAGGACCTGAAGCCTGAGCAGTGCGGGTGGCACTGACGCCGGCAGGGAAAGAGCCTACGCTCGCGTCACATGGCCGCAAGGGCTCGCCGTCCACCCCGCCCCACCCCCGTAGCTGTGTAGTGGTAATAACCTGCCCCCACTGCCTATTGACCTTTTATTGTCAGCGTTTATTTTTTCTGCAGTTGGTGTCCTATATAAAAACAAATGGGTATTTGGGGGCTTTTGGATTTTTTTTAACCCTTGTTTGTTCTACCAAGAGAAGAATTTTGCAGCTGCGCTTTGCCCCTGCTGATGCCCTTTGCAGTACTGACCAGCTGCTTGTCCACTTCGCTGATCAGCCGGTCATGGAAAACCCTCAGACACTCGTTCCTCCAGACCCTTACCATCTGCGCCTCGGTCTGGAACCTGCACGGTGGAAAGGGCAGGTCAGCGGTGAGGACCTCCAGGGGGCAGGTCACCTGCTGCAAGTCTGGGCGGAGCCCGGGAGCCGCATCTCTGTGGTCTTTTCTCTCCCTGGGCCCGTGTTAGCCCAACCTAGCCAAGCACAGCAAAGCCAGCATCCATAGCTCGTCTGGCCACAGGGAAGAAAAGTGGGCATAAAGACCAGAAGTACCCCCCCAACACACACACACAGGCTGGACTATATGAAAGCCAGCACCAGAGTCACACAGCGTCTCTTCTTCCCAAGAACCAACACCACCTGCGTCCAACCACAGAATGTTCCCTGGTTCCTGGCCCAGGGCTGCTATCCTGCCTGGACCACCCGGTGCTTACAGGAATAAAAGACCACCAGACCCGCTGGGTATGCTTAGTGGGACAAAGCAAACCCACCGCTCCGGGTGGGTGAGGACAAGGCCGCTGAAAACCCGCGAGAGATCTCGGAGGTTGAAGATGTAGTGGAACTTGGAGGGGGTAGGTGGCAGGTCCTGGATGGTGAGTTTGTACAGCGCCAGAGTGCAGGAGGTCAGCTTGCTGCTCACAGCCACGATGCTCTCATGAAAGTTCTGGAAGAAAAGCCGGGAAGATAGCTCAGTAGAATAAGCGCCTGCCTGGCAAGCACAAGGTCCTGAGTTCAATCCCCAGTACTGAAAAAAAAAAAGAAAGAAAAGAAAAGTTCTAGAAGAATGAAAAGATCCCTCCCCCACATCCATTAATAGATGAATAAACTGCGTGTGGCACTGTCACATTCTCAGACACTGGAACAGCTTGGGTGAACCTTGAGGACAGGATTGGCCACAGCGACAGAAAGTAGACCTGTTGCCAGGGCGTAGGCACTGGATGGGTGCAGTTTTCCTCCAGATGAGAAATTTTAGAATCAGATTAAGGGGGCACTACACAACACTGGCAATGTACTAAATGCCTCTGAACCACACACTTTAAATGGTTAGATAAAGCACCTTTTGTGTCTGAGACACGGTTCACCCTGCAGCTCAGGCTGACCTGAACTCACATTGTAGCCCAGATTGGCCTTGAACTCACAGCAACCCTCCTGCCTCAGCCTCCCAAGGGCTGGGATTACAGCCCACCACCCTACCCAGCCAACACACTTTAGATTGTGTAACTTTTATCATTTTTTTAAAAATGGGGTTAAGGGAAATACAGAAAAGTTCAGAGAAGCCGAAAAGCTCACAGTGCCTGGGGCTTTCATTGACAAGTTAAGATGCTGGGACACCAGGGATCCACGTAGCCCCTGCTAAGTTTCATGTCACCTGCAGTGAGCTCACAGCCTTGCAAGTGATACGCAGCCCAGAGTCCACAGATCCTCCTGACCACCCTCTGCCAGTCTGGCCTCAGCGCACATCTGGCCCAATGCATGGGCACACACAAGTCCGCTGTGAGCCAGGTCCTGGCCTCCCCGGGCCTGTGGCCCTCCCGCCTGCATGGACCCTTCCTCCGTGAAAACACCAAAATTCTACTTGATGACTGTGTTGGTATAAGGATGAATTCTTCTGTAGATTTTTAAAGAAATTAAGGTGTCCAATGTATCTCTGGCCCCAAGCATTGGATGTGCTGTGCCAACGCATAAATCAGCCCCCTGCGTGTGCCATCGTAACCTGGGTGACGTCCCCACCGTAGGCTTCTATTTAAAATCAAGTTACCGCAGTATGGCCTTTCAGGATAGAGAAGTAGATTAAGTGCAAAGACTCCTCAGAAGGGAACGGCATGTTGAAGACATTGAAGAGGGAGATGAACCGCGGGTCGACCTCATTGCGGCCCCCTCCGGCCTTGCCCATGGCGGCGATGAAGCCGAGGTCCCGGATGCTCTTACAGGTCAGCTCCTTCCCGCGGTCGTACAGGTACCCTCTCTCGAGCAGCAGCCTCAGCAAAGCGATGGGCTGCTGGGTGCCGTATTCATCCACCTCGGGTGTTTTAGAGGGAAGAGAGGGCAGCAGCATCAGGACTTGGAACTCAAGGCTCCTTGCCATCCACCGAAACTAAAGCTCAGCACTGTCGCTCTCTAGTCAGCCCTGTGTTTAGCTTCTTAGGGCTTCCCAAAGTGTGCCGCCATGCATTTGTCTGTGACTCTGCCTAGCGCCTGTCACCCTAGCTGGACTTCAGGCTCCGTGGAGGCGGGGGCTGTCCAGGGCCTACCCACTGCATGACGCCAGCCCTGAGGGAGGCACTCAGTAGAGTTAATGGTTAGACAGACAGTCGGATGAAGTGGCCTGTATGTCCACCAACAGATGAATGGGCCAAGAAAACATGGTATTTATGCACCATGGACTACTACTCTGCCTTAAAAAAGCATACATTTGAGTCACTGGTAGCACATGCCTGCAATCCCAACACTGGGGAGGCTGAGAGAGGAGCACAATATTAAGCAAAATAAGTCAGACATGCTTGAATTTCATGTGGTTTCTCTTCTAGGAGAAGCCCCAAATACAAATAAAGTTCAAAATAAAAGATAGAAGACTGGGAATGGTGGCACACTCCTGTAATCCCAGCACTTGGGAGGCTGTAAACAGGATGATCACTACAAGTCCGATCTACACAGTGAGACCCTGTACAGCCTGTCCTAATACAAAAAAAAAAAAAAAAAATACTAGGAAGTAGGGAAAGAGATCTTTTTCAAATGGGAGAGAGATCAAGAGATGGAGCAGGACAAAGGGGAGGGTGAGAGAATGGAAAAAAAAAAAAAGAGTATCATGTACATACAGCAGCTGCACACAAGAAATAGAGACCTCAAGGGCCGGGGAGATAGCTCAGTAGAATAAGTGCTTGTCTGGTAAGCGCAAGGGCCTGAGTTCAATCCCTGGCTCCACAAAAAAAAAAAAAAAAGAAAGAAAAAAAGAAATAGAGACCTCATGCAATGTACACATACTAGTTAAAATTTTAAAAACATGGATGGGTGCATGGATGGATAGATGGATGGATGGATGGATGATGGATGGATGGATGGATGATGGATGGATGGATGATGGATGGATGATGGATGGATGGATGGATGGATGGATGATGGATGGATGGATGGATGGAGAGATGGATGGATGGATGGATGGATGGATGAAGAGATGGATAGAGAGATGGACAGATGGACTGACAGAGAAGATAGATGGATGAATCCTGAACAAATGATTAAATTATGAATGGAGGGACAGATGATCAGATATGTGGATCCTGGTTTTGCACATCCTCCTCTGGAAGGCAGATTTCCAAGGGGAAAATGATTCCATTAAAAAATATATCAGGGCCAGGAAGATAGCTTGGTGGTCTAAGGGCCTTCCTGGCACGCGCAAGGACCTGGGTTCAATTCCCCAGTACGGGCATGCCATGCCAGCCCCGCACCAAACCTGGCATGGTGACACACGCCTGCAATCTTAGTGCTGGGGAGGCTGAGATAGAAGGATCACTACAAGTCTGAGCTGTGTAGTGAGACCCCGTATCAAATAAATAAATAAATGATTAAAAAAATAAAAGCAAAATCAACTTAAGCTGCAGTGTGTTGAGAAACCTTTGCGGTGTTTAGGCTGCAGCCCCGGCAGCACACAGCTCCCACTCCCCGGTGTGGGCCACCCTGGGGAATTCTTGGGCAGGGTCTGCTGCTTTGCTTCCCGTGCTCATGGGGCTAAGGACAGCTTTGCAGCTGGAAGTGGGGCGCACTGGAGTCCCTTTCTCAGCCACGCCCCACTGAGGGGAGGCCCAAGGTGGTCCCTGCGCGCTGAGGGCTGGAGCCCCGTGCCTGATCCTCCCCACCCACGCACTGGCATCAACGCGGACGCCCAGGCTGCGCCCCACGCCCGCACCGTGCCGCCACCTTGGGCATGTTCATGTCGTCCATGAACACCAGAAGCCGCTTCCCCATGGGGGGGCCGTAGGTGTCCTTCGTGCGCTTTTCCACGTTGGCCTCCAGGTTCCTCTGGATATCCATGGACGTGGTGCGGGAGGAGAAGCTGACCATCAGCACAATCTGAAACGGAGGGGCTTGGAATGTGGTGTCTGCCACGGTGGCCACCGGCTGCTGTCCACTTGGCAAATGCATCGTCTCCGAACTGTACACTTTTACAACCCAGGGTGGGACTGCGCTTCAGCTTGTTTTAAATGCCAAAGCAAGAATTCCTCTTTCCTCTTGATGGGTGGTGTGAGACAGTCAGGAGCTGCCCCCACCAGCCTGGGGCAGGTCAGAGACAGCAGGGACAGCTGACTGACTGGATTTCGCGCATGTGCCAGCCCCTGGGGTGGTCCTCAGCCTGGAGGCTCTCTGCCTTCCAGGAGCCTCTGATACCTGAGCTGCTGGGGCGGGGGACAGGAGACTAAGAAAACCAGGAAGACAGCGGGAGCAGGCAGCCCCTCCCCTGCGCAGATCCAGGGGCAAAGAGGAGGGCTGGAGACCGAAGCAAGGAGCAGCACTCCCAGGGGACAGGAACGGAGTGGGGACGGGCCAAGGTGAGATCCGGAGCTCTGAGAAGAGAGGCTGCACCCACTTGCAGCGTAGGCAGGACTCAGGTGGGGAGCCGGGAGGCTGGCACAGCAAGTGGGAGCTGCCCACGTGGGGCTCCGTGGCATCTGCACACCTGTCTGCCTGTCTGGGACACCGCAGAGCTCAGGGTACACACTGAGGACGCCCGAGCCCCACCTGCATGATAGGGGCCAGAAGAAGAGAAGGAAACCCCAAGTCCTAGGACACGCGGAGGCAGGCACTGTCACCACCAGGTCTCCGGCCTGGCCTGGCCCTTCCCGTACCATGCGGGTGCTCAGAGGCTCTGTCCGACCCATACAGTGTGGCAGAAGGTGGCAGGTGACCTCACAGGCTGCAAAGACATCCTAACTCCTGCTCCGCTGTCCACCTGGCCCCCGGAAGCAAGCGCTATCATGAGTACTGCTTTGGTTTGAGTAGATCCCACAGCCCGTGTCGCACACTTGGGCCCCAAGTCAGATTGGGAGGGATTGTTGGAAGGCAACAGGATCGGGACATCAAAGAAGCAGAGGCTTATTGGGGGGAGGGTTGTTTTGTTTTGCTTTTTAATAGAAGTGAACTTCCTGTGGCAAACTCGCTCTGTCCCACCACAGGACACCCTCTGCCAAGTCCGGACACGACCTGAACACCCTCCCTGAGCAGCCAGCAGCACCACGCACTAGGACTTCCTGGCCTCCAGAGCCATGAGCCAAATCGACGTCACCAGTCCCCTGTCCTAGCCCAGCGTAAGGTTGGCACAGAAGGCCAGCTCGGAAGAGCTGCAACACAGCCTTCCAGTAAACACGGCCCCACAAACAGCTTGACTGCTGCCGCCACAGGCTGCCCGGGAGCCCCAGGCTGAGCGACCCCCACGCCCCGAGCCGGAGAGATGCCAGGCAGCGAGTGCTGGTTACGTTCAGCCGCTGTGGGCTGTGTGATCTGTTACACACACAGCAGGCGACGGTGTGTACACTTACGGTAGTGTCTCTGTTCAGATTTTTGAGGAAGTTCTGCGTAGTAGCTGTCTTAGAAGTGCCAGATTCGCCAACGAAAATAACGGGCTGCTTAATTTTAACCAATTGTTCCAAGATCCAGGTTGTGCGGGTTGTATCCACTGTGTGAACTAAAAGACAGGGGACGTCACAGGAATGCCAAGCACGAGAAGCAGCAGCAAGAGCTGAGCTGCGACCCCAAAACCGTACATGGGGGAAGCCTCGGTGGGGGGGCCGCCCCAGTCGCTTTCTGCCGCTCCACTGTGCTGAGCTCTGACTCTCCACAGAATCGCCTGTTTCAGCACGCCATCCGGTGACCCTGATACATTTCTGCAGCTGTGGAGCAGTGCCACCATCGAGCTAGAACCCCAAACTGTGCCTAGTGTCCCACTCTGATTTATTCTCAGCATGAAAGACCCAAGTGCGCTGCTGCTTCCGTGGTCCCCGCACCTGCAGGATTGGGTTTCCTGGCCAAGAACCTACTCTGCAGAAAGACTAACTCCACTCCTACCCTGGCAGCTCTCAGTCCCGGGGGTCCCCGAGAAAGTGGAGGTGCTGCGCTCTGGAAGCACACTGGACCCAAACCAAGTGCTACTGTACGAAAGTCCCCTGCCGGATTTTGTCTAACTGGCCAGAGAGAGGAGTGTGGTCCCAGCACAGTCCTGCAGTGAACCCCCATGGTGCACTGCATTTCTAAGCATTGACCAAACACTGCCTGTTCCCTCCTGTCCTGTCCCCGAGGTCCTCCACATGCCAGCGAGCTGTGTGGGCTGCCAAGGGCGCCCCGCCCTGTGGGCATCAGCCTGCAGGGGCAGGGGGTCACCGCCACCCACAGCTGCCCAGAGGCAGCAGCACAACAGGATCGCAAGGTGCTGCCCTTCCGAGTCCCGTGGCTCGCTGCCCACACTTCCTCTCAGGGTTCTGAGGCAGGATCCAGACACCAGCAAGGCAGGGGTGCTCTCATGCCCCCCGCCTACCCAGGACATCGATGAATTTCCTCTCCGGATCGTGGACATACTCTGGAACCAGCTTGTCCCACGGGATCCACTGGCTCCGCTTGGAATCAAAGTGAAAGTCGTACAAGGTCGGAAGGTGGCCTGCAGTGAGGAACGAGCTGTGTCACTTTCACAGAGACACAGGGCCCTGGTGAGGCCGGGCACACATTTGGAATGAGCTTTCCACTGCACGGATGCCACTCTGGGTCCCTCCTATGCTCCTTCACTGGCAGAGGCTGTGTGCCCTGAACTGAGGCTATCCTTCAGTGGACAGAGTCCCTTCCTGGGGATGAAATATAGGGGTGCCGAGCCCTGGTGACCCCTTACAGATGTAGGCCACAGGTGGGTAGGGATGGAGAGAGGAAAGAGAGCAATGTGGGTGTGGTGGGGCAGGACAGAGGGGACAGGGCGGGACAGAGGGGACAGGGCGGGACAGAGAGGACAGGGTGGGACAGAGGGGACAGGGTCCCGGGCAGGGAAGGGAAGGGATCCATGGCCACCTGCACTCGGGCTCCACCAGCCACATAGCTCTATCCTCCAAGGGAAGTCCCCTCCCAGACTGCACCCCGCAGCCACCACTGCAGGTCTTTGTATACACCCATTCTGCACGCCACGCTCTAGCGCCTGTCAAGCTCAGTCACGGGAACCCAGCAGGTGGCTCAAACGGTAGCACTTTAGACAGCCAGGGGAGACCAAGGGTGGAAGAAAGGCAGACAGGTGGACCGTGCAAAACCAGAGGTTCCAAAGCTTGAAGCTCAGGAGAGCAAGAATTAGGCCCTTGGGGAAGGGCACGGGAAGGTGTTGGCTTCCGAGGTATGGGGATGCACTTGAACTTCTCCCCGAGGGCTGCCAGGAACTCTCACCCCTGCCTTTCTCTCTGGGAGCAAACAGGCTGGAAACCCCCCAGAGGGCCATGGACATTCGGAAAAGCAAGTCTGTGGCCTCTAAAAACAGCCCCCAGGCCAGTGGGTGATGGCAGCGCCTACCTGGCAACTCCCCAGGCTTGGCCCAGACCCCCTCGGTGTCGACAGAGGACAAAGAAGAAAGGCGTTTCACACATTCGTCAAACTTCATCCTTCCGTTCTCGAGCAGGGAGGCACCAAGCGAGAAATACAGAGCTTCCAGGAAGTAGCACTCCAGCAGGTCGGGGTCCTCGATCTCACCCTCCAGCAGGGCGTCCAGCATCTTAGTCAGCTGGGTTACCTGGCTCACAGGAAGGCACCGAGGTCAGCCCCTATCTTCCAACCCCAGAGGGTCAGCTCTGTCCCCAACCCTGGGGCCCAGGGTGAGGGGAACGGGTGCTCCACAAGCCGTGTCGGTTCAGACCAACAGAGCCCAGTACACTACCTTGAGCAGGGTCACAAGACAGAACAGTGCCGCCCGGACACACCCACCACGCCACGCACAGCACGGCCCTCCAAGGCCACGGCGGTGCCCGTCTTATAGGAAGGGCCTCCGCCCCCGCCAGACAGTCTCTCACCATGTTCAGGTCCGTCTGCGGAACTATGGTCTTCAGCCTCTCTCCCTGCCTTCCGTCCACTATCCCCTCCACTATCACATCGATGAGATAGGGCACGTATTTCTCAAAAAGATGATTTAAATCGTTCTGTTCCCCCTGTAAAAGAGCAGAGTCCCAAAGAATTTTCAAAGGTTTGTTTACTTCAATGGGAGGGAAAGTTTTGCTTCTCCAGAAGGGCGAGACGTGGGCAGCAGTCAGGTGGCAGTGAGGAGCGCTGGCCCCAGCGCCTGTGTTTGCAGAGTTCTGTCCTCCGCGACCCGGTTGCACGTCATCACTGACATGGGGTCCACCCCAGCCCTGGGAGGAAGGGGAATGAGACAACGTGTCCCAGTTGGCAGAAAGGGCCATCAGCTGGAGCTCAAGTGACATTGCTGCCATGTCGCAAAGGGCATAACGTAATAAGCATGCCTCTCCCTCTCAAGCCATCGACATCGGAGATGGCCCGAGCCCTCGGAAGCCACTCTCTCCCATGCGAGAGTGCCTCCAACCTCCGACCACCCTTCTCCTGGCCTTCTCCTCTCTGCAGCCGTTATGTCCTGGTCTCCCACTCCCAGAGGTCCAGAGGCCTTTGTGAAGACCCAGTGGCCACGTGCGTCGCTTGTGAGAAGGCGGTCGCAGGGTCCAGAGTGTGGCCAAACCCCAACTTGCACATTAATCTCTATCCCTCCCTCTGGGACACCTGCTGCCAAGACAATGCGCTGTCTCAGCAGCCTCGGGACACGTCGTGCGGTGTGGGGTCGACTGTAACTGCTGCACCTCAGCTACACGACAAGCTAGGTCCTTCCCACGCTGCTCCGTCCCAGCCTGCCCAAGCGCAGGGCCTGCGCGCCTCCCTCCTCCCAATTGCTGGCTTCCCTGGACCAGATTGTGGGTTACAAACAGAAGCTCACAGGCCACACCTGGCCCACCACCTGACTTGGACAACGGACTTCCCCCGTCCTGTTCCTCATGCACCTACTGTATCTAGCCCTGTTCACCCCAGAACAGAGAACTAAACCAGCACAAAAGGAACGATAACGCCCCCAAGTCTAACACCCACTCTCCACCCCTTTGCAGGAAGCTCAGTGACCCGGCTGTAGGCCATGAAGGGTGTGCAGCCTAACTGGCGTGCCGCCAGCTTTCCCCTGCATCCAAGGGCAAGGACCTTCACACGTCAAGGACACAAGGTCATGACATGAGGTCACAGCCCTCCACCACAAATATCCCCCTGGGCTGGCCACCAATGCTACCAACTTTATTGGAGGAAATCATTTTCACCTTGTTTTGTATTTGATTAACCCATTTTTTCCAGTATGGTTGATATTTCAAGTTTTTGGGGTCCACGTAAACCATTCCACACCGAGACACAGTCGCAGGGGAGGCGTACTGCAAATCCCCAACCTGCAGGAAGAGAAAGAGAATCATGCGCATCTTCAGCTTTCCCCTGTGCATAAAACCCACATCATAGGCAATCACCACGGCTGCAGGAGGCCTTCAGCGGAACACTTAGGGCTAGGGTACAATTAGATGTCTCTGATGTAACTCCTTTTAAATTTTTCCCTTACTAAGGGCTGGCCAAATAGCTCAGTGGATTAAAGCACCTGCAAGCAGGCACAGGGGCCGAGGGTTCGATCCCTGGGCCTGCAGTGCTGGCCCCGCCCCTGAGATGTGCTGAGACAGCAATTGAGACTGGGCGTAGTGGTGCGTGCCAGTAATCCCAGCTCTTGGGAGGGCGCAAACAGGCGGACCACTACGCATCTGATCTAGTAGTAAGGCCCTGAACACCCTGTAGACCCTTCCCTAAGATACTAAATAAATAAATTTTCCCCTTACTATAAATTAATGTGGAAAAATATGTTGTAGAGTACCTGACAAAAATTTAGAACGAAAAAGAAATCAAGTTATTCAAATCCTACCACCTAGAAACACATACTGCTTTCGATTTTTCTTTTTTTTCCATGCACTTGGCACAGGGTCTCACCACACAGCTCAGATTCATAGTGATCCTCCTGTCTCAGCCTCCCCAGCGCAGGGATGACAGCCTGCACCACCAAGCCTGACCTCAGTGGCTGGCTGAGCATGCCCAGAGGCAGAGCAGGTGCGGCATGCGGTGCCGGGGATGGAACTCGGTCCCTGCTCTGGCCTAAGCAGGCGCTTAGTCCATTGAACTATCTCTCCAGCCCTTCAAGTATTTTCTTTTCAGTCTTTTTTTTAATTTTTAAAAATATTTATTTATTTATCTAGTGCAGGGTCTCACTATGCAGCTTGTACTCATAGTGATCCTCCTGTCTCAGCCTCCCCAGCGCTGGGATGACAGGCGTGCACCACCATGCTGTTTTGGGGCCTGCAGGGCACTCCCAGGGTTCCGGGGCGGCATGGCATGTGGTACCAGGGATCAAATCTTGATCCTTGTGCTTGCCAGGCAGGCGCTTAGACTGCCGAGCTTTCTCGCCAGCCCTCAGTCTTGAAAAAAAAAAAAAAAACCACAGTTGAGATCAGGTAAGGTAGCACCAACCTCAATAAAGACATTGTTAAATCCACAATGTTAACAAAACCTCTCTCTATGAGAAGGACACAGTTCCACCAGCCAACTAGATAATGACACGCTTGTGATAGCGTGGGTGGGAAGGTCCCACACACCCTCCCGTGCTGCCTGGCTCTCAGGAGGGAGGGGCTGGTCAACACTGAGCTAGAACAAAAGCAGCTCTCAGGACCACAGCCACGCAAGCAGCAACGGGTACTGTGAGCGGGAGGCTGGGAGGCGAGGAAGCTGAGGGAGCAACTTCCAGGAAGAACAGGGGTCCAGGAAAACACCTGATCCGATAAAAAGCTTGAAAAAACAAGGGATGGTAGGATGAAGGCAAATAGTGTGGGACAGAAAGAGAAAGGCAGCTACAAACTCCAGCCCAAACAAATGGCTTTTGAAGCTGGCTGTTGTGAGGCACGCCTGTGGTCCCAGCACCCAGGAGGCTGAGGCAGGAAGATGGAGGCTGAGAGTTCAAGGCCAGCCTGGGCTCCAAAGTGAGCTCGAGGCCAGTCTGAACTGCATGGTGAGACCCTGTTTCAAAAAAAAAAAAAAAGGGGGGAACCTGTTGGTTGGCTCAGTTGTTTAAGCACCTACTCATGCAAATGCAGTCAGGTACAGGATACTGTGGTTCAAACCCCACCTCCACCTGCCTTATCAGATCCATCCTAAAGGCAGGCTGAGCCAGCAAAAAAAAAAAAACCCTTCTCAAAAAGACAAAAAAGAAGTTTTACAACACTACATCTCATAGTGGTGCCGTGGCCCACAAACTCAATCCTCTCCACAGTTCTGGTTCTAAACCACACCGGAGGAGAACTGATTCAGGTCTCCCCACAGATCAACATCGCCCCTGACCACTGATTTTTGATGATCATGATTTTGTTCTTGTTCAACTTGCCTTGGGCCAGAAGTGTGGAAAGAATCAAGTTCGTACACCGACGTACCACTGTCGGTGCAGTTATAGCCACTAGCTGCCTTGCAGCAAATAGTTCCATATTCATGAAAATCCAAATATTGTCTACTGCAGGCCAATTTACAGTATTCTCGCTGAGGGGGGAAGGCCAGCGAGTGGTGTAAGAGACAAGTCCTCACTGTCCTAGCCCTCGGGTGGGGCGGATCAAAGAAGAAACGTCACACCAGGCGTGTTGCTTTGGGGACCAGAATAATTATCAGAAGGAATAACTGCAGAAAGCTGAACGTAGTCACCTCTGGGGCAGAGTAAGAAGAAGGGGAGAGATAAATAGCTCACGGCAAACGCCTGCACTGCAAGCAATCACCCAGCTGTATTGCTGCGTCGAAAAGCTTTTACATTTTTAATGAGCAGTAAGACTTCTGCCCAAAACCCTTCCTCGCTGCCACTTGCCTCAAAGAGCAGCGCGCAGTGCGCCTGCAGCCGGATGCGCTCCCCGTTGGCCAGCGTCAGCAGCTTGTTGTCGTCCATCACGGAGTTCATGTTCTCCACCCACAGGGCGTCCACGTCACCATCAAACAAAATATACCTGCGGTGGCCGGGGTGAAGGGCCAGGGCCTGTGAGGGCCTCCAGCTGAGGTCGTCACGGGAGGTCGTGCCCAGGGGTTTCCGTCCAGGACGTGATGGGGCATGCTGCCGGGGGTGGAGGGTCTACCACGCGGGACTGGAAAACTGTCTTTTTTTTTTTTTTTTTTTTGGCGGAACCGAGGATTGAACTCAGGCCCTTGTGCTTGCCAGAGAAGCACTTATTCCACTGAGCCATCTCCCCGGCCCATGGAAAACTGTCTTGATTAGCTACCAGGACTTAAGAATCTGGGGACCTCACACGAAAGTGGGGATTTCTCCTCTTTTGGGCAAACTGAGTCTTCACCATGCCCCCCTGCAAGCTGTTTTGTCGGTTGGTTTTGGTTTTTGAGATGGGTCCAGGCTGGTCCTGAACTCACAGCAATCCTGCCTCAGCTTACAAGTGCTGGGATTACAGGTGTGTGCCACCACTCCCCGCCCTTGACCTGGGATCTTGCATGGGAGCCATCTGCTGGTGCTGAAGAGTGGCTGTGTCTGGTGACGGGAAGGGTCACTGCCCACCCTCCCCACCCCCATGTCGTTCTTTTCTTCAATCTGAAGCTGATTATCAATCAATATCCATCCCTGCTTTAACGCCTAGTTTCCTGATGGTAGAATTAACAGAAAAGAGCGGCATAAATCCGTGGGCAGGGGGCCGAGTGGCTCCTGCCCTCCCAGAGATACGTTCACCAGGAGTCATGGGCGTGACATCATATGGGGGGAAAGTCTTTGCAGACTTAGTTATGCTGAGCATCCCAAGGCTGGGTCACTCTGGATCGGCAAGACGGTCACTGGGCCAGAGAGAAGCATCTTTTTAAGAACCAAGTAGCTGGGCGTGGTGGCGCACGCCTGTGATCCCAGCACTCAGGGGGCTGAGGCAGGATGATGGCCAAGAGCTCACAGCCAGCCTGGGTTACAAAGTGAGCTCAAGGCCAGCCTGAACTGCAGGGCAAGACCCTGTCCGAAAAAGACAAAAATAAAAAAAGAAACGAGCAGAGAGAGGGTCCAGGCCAAGAGCAGGAAGCCACGCAGCGAGGGCGGCGGGGACTGCAGTGACGCAGCCACTACCACGCATGTCTGACACCCACAGAACTGGCCCGGCCCGGGGAGGACTTCCCCAGAGCCTCCAGGAGAAGCGACGCCAGCTGACCCTCGGGCCTCCAGGACTGTGACAGAATAACCCCTAACCCTGACTCCAGGTGGCCCACCTGGGGCCTGGCTAGGGCTGCCCTGTGGAGCCAACGCGCCCTGCCGCGGTCCACGTCACCGCAGGTTCCCAGGAGCGCCTGCTCCACAGCCTCTGGGCGACACGCAGTCGCCCTAGCAGGAGGCACGCTCTGGCCCCACAACCCCGGCTGTCCAAGCCACGGGACGCTTGGACTCGGGGCCCCACGGGGCTACGACACGGCGAAGCCACCTCCAGAGGCTGGCTCTCTCCTCCAGTCTCCTCCTACGATGCTTCGGTGCTGCTTCACTCGACACACGGACACCAGTAGTCAGACTTTTAAACGGCCTTTGACTTTGTTCTAGTAATTCCTTCTTTTTAATTTTTTGTTTTTCAGTCATTTCAGACTCACAGAATTTCAGCGATAGAATTGTACAAAGAAGTCCTATGTGCCCTTCAACTAAATTCTCTAACTGGTAGATATTTCACCACACTTGTGCTCTGTCTGTCTGTCTGTCTGTCTGTCTGTCTGTCTGTCTCTCACTCAAGTGAGTCTCAAGCAGGACATCATGTCCTCCTAAATACCTTAGCACGTCTTTGCTAGCATTTGCTCAGAACAAACACCTTCTCGTACCTGTCCACAGCACTCTCACATTCAGGAAGTTTAACACTGACACAATTCCTTTACCTAGCAGGCAGCCCAGGATCAAAGTCCGCTGGTGGCCAATTTCTATCTGTGGTGGGAAGATCAGGTTCGGCAGCCACCGGCAGCCATTCAAGCTGTCAAGGGAGGGCTTGCCAAGGGACACGTCACTCACACGGCCATGGGGTCTCTCCACAGGCAGGCCATCAGCCGCAGGGGGAAACAGTGTCTCTGCCCAAGACCACGGTTGACAGGACCACAGGGAAAGCCCACATCCCCCGCCGCCAACGCAGGCTCCCTGCCCCAGCTACGAACTGAGGCCTTCTCTGCAAAACAGCTGGCCTAGAATCCTGCAGAACATCAAAGCCACAAAAGATAAAGAAATCCCCAAGATGGCAAAGGCCAGATGACAGCACAGTGTGAAACCCTGAGTGGGTCAGAGTCCGGGGAAGAGTGCTAAAAGGAAATTTTAGAAGGCATCAGCTCAGACATTGGTGTCTGTCAGCCTAAGATGTTTTCAAAATCCCAGTACTCCTCACACGGCCTTGACAAGGGAGGGCCAGTGAAGACCACACCGGGAGACTCCAAGACGGCACCTGTCACCCTGCTGCAACTCCAGACTCGCAGCTGCGACCCCAGGCTCATGGGGTCATGACATCCGGCTCACCAGGAGCCGCTAGGCCAGGCTCCCCGTCCCAGGCACTCACTTCCGCTCCTTCTTGTCAGTTGGCTTGTTGATCTCCCGAAAGATGTTGGACAGCACCCCATCTGTCCAGTCCCGGGTGGTGGGGTCCAGGATGCCGTAGAGTTCTATGACACTCATGGCCTTGGGGTTCAGAACGTACAGCTTCGTGATGAGCCCCAACCTACACGGGAAGAAAGAGCTCAGCCAGGATGGAGGACGGAGAACGGAGGACAGAGGCCGGAGGCACTGGATGCGCGTAGGAACCCAGCAAGGGCCCAGGACAGGAACAGATGTCAGGAATCTGAAGCACAGACTCAGACCACGAGAGTGCTCCAGGCTCCGTGGCGCTGGCCACAGCTCACACTGCGCAGGGTTGTGTGCCACAGCTCCGCCCTGGGGTGCCAGGCGCCTGGCTTCCATGAGGCCACACGTGTGTGTGTGTGACAGGGCTGTGTGACAGGGCTGTGTGAGGGGTTCACAGAGACAAGGTGGGCACCCGGAAGGCAACAAGCCCCTCAGCATGCTGGTGCTCAGTGCAGTGCAGTGTGCACGTGTGCACATACGTGTGCGTGTGTGTGTGTGTGTGTGTGTGTGACTGAAGATTGAACCCAGGGCCTTCTCATCCAGCCTGGTTTTTCTAAAATTTTAAGCTGGCCTCTCACTAAGTCGTCAAGTTGCCCAGGTTGGGCTCACTGCGATCCTCCTGCCTCGGCCTCCCACAGCACTGGCAGAGACACATGGGTGTGTATCATCCCGCCTGGCTCCAAGCCTTACTCATGGGACCGCCTCTGGCCTCAGCTAGTCAGTCTGGCAAACGGGTTATTTCCCTTTATAGTGACTATAAATTCTTCCCATGGTAGGTGATTAAAGAAAACTAAACCTCACACAACTCACTGTTCACAATCAAGAAATAAAAATAGTATGTGTACCACGTTCCATATACGCTCTTGCGCGATCATCCTATAAATTTATCTAACATGACCTAGCTTACAAATGAAACACGCGAAGGGGCGGGGAGATGGCTCAGTAGAATAAGCGCTTCTCTGGCAAGAGCAAGACCCTGAGTTTAATCCCCGGTTCCGCAAAGAAAAAGAAAGAAACACGCAATCGTTAAGGCAAACCACCTTCGCGTGAGAAACCCTTGCCTGCCAGTCTCTGGGAGCTTGTGGGAACTCTGGCCACGCGGACAGCGCTGCAGCGCCACCTCGTGGTGAGTCCTGACATAGGCAAAAGGAGCGCTGTGACCATCACTATTCATTGGCAAAACATCTTCATAAATCAGTTTGTGGAATTCTCATTTCACAAGTTAATTTACACACTATCAAAAGGGGGAAAGTGCCCCTATTTTGCATTCTAAAGTCTTGGCGGTGCACATCTATGATCCCAGCACTGAAGGAGGCTGAGGCAGGAGAATCACAAGTTTGAGACCCGACTAGACAACTCAGCAAAAACTCAAAATAGAAAGAGCTGGGACTGTAGCTCAGTGGCAGAGCCCCCTCGGGTTCAATCCAGGTCGTGCAAAGAAAAAGGATCAGTCAATTAATTCATTAAATGTGTTAATTATACCAGCAGTGGACGAGTGAAGCTGCTGAGCTTACAAGGGCATTCAGGACCAGTTTCCCCTCCCAGGAAGTCAGGAGTCAAAGTGGGTGGGCACAGGTGACGCGCCCAAGGTTCCCCGAGAGCCACCCGGCAGGCAGCACCCCGCCCGGCTGAGCCACACTCACTTGGTCTGGGCCTGACACAGGGCACTGATGACCACAGACTTGCCGCCGCCCGTGGGTCCCACCACCATGGTCGTGTGCCGGGTCATCATGGTCTCGTACATCTGAACCACTTTGTCCACCTGTGGGGCAAGCAATGGGACTGCGTCATTCCACCTGTCTGCCAGAATGGACATCTTTTTTGTTTTCGTAGACGCCGACCCACGTGTCGTGCCGCTCACCTAGTCCAGAAGCTCTGTGCGGCCATCCCCCTCCCCCCAACCTGCAAGCACACACTGCCGCTTCCCTCCTAACCCACCCCGTTCGCCACCTCTCCCAGGCCTGTCATGCCCCTGCCCGGCTCCCAGAAGACATCAGTCTGCTTTCTGTCTCTGGATTTGCTCATTCTGCACATGTCACGTAAGTGGTGTCACTTCCTATGTGGCCGGGCACCTGGCTTCTTTCACTAAGCACCACGCCCTTGAGATCACATTATGGTGCATGTGAGACTCTTTCCCCTTCGTGGCTGCATAATACTCTGCAGTGTGGATGGCCGTGGTCTGTCCAGCCACGCATCAGGGGATGGACGCTGAGCTGGCCCCGCTCCTTGGCTGCTATGAGCAGCACTCCTTACACTACACAGGACCGGGTTCCTCTTGGGTCCACCCCAAGGAACAGAAGAGCTGGGCCCAATGGTCACTCTGTTCAACCAGCTGAGGGACAGCCAGGCTGCACCCAGTGTGGCTGTGTCATTCTACGTATCTGCCAGAAAAGACATCTTTTTTTTGCTTTGCTGTGGGGGATGCTAAACAAAATGCTTAAATGATCTGACGCCTCTGTGCCCCAAACAGTTGAAAGGTGACATACGGATATGGATGCTGTGGAATATCATTCAGCCCTAAAAAAAGGAATAGAGCCCTGGGCAGGCTTCGACATGGATAGGCCTCAAAAACACTATACTGAGTGACAGAAGTCAGACCCCAGAGGGCAGAGTGCAAAGACCCTCCTCACCGTCCCTAGAGGATTTGAAAGAGGAAGTAGGGTGCAGGGCTGGGGGTGGGGTTACTGCGCACACAGCTTCAGCTTTGCCAGAGGAAGAGCTCCGCTGCCGCACGGGGCCACAGCTGCACCAGTTGTGCTGCAGGCCGCTGACCTGTGCCTGTCCGCGGCTCCACAGTGAGTTTTACATAGTCTGTACTTTACCACAATTGTTATGATCCAAGTGGCAAAGTCTGCATCGTGGACATGCTGCCCTTCTCTGAAATGAACCGTGACGACCCTCTGCGGAATCCAGGGCCCAGCGGAGCCCGGACACGCTCACCTGCACCGGCAGCAGCGTGTAGCCACCGTCCACCAGCACCTGCTCCACGGCGTCGTTGAAGTCGGGGTAGCGCACGCGCGGGCAGTCCAGCCCCGGGAACAGGTCAGAGATGAGGCCCAGGAAGAGGGGCACATCCTCGAAGATGAACTTGGGCAGGTTCATGTCCCGCAGGGCCCGCATGAGCACCACATCCTGCCAAAGGCGACACCGTTCCGGGCCGCCTGGGACACCCACGGACCAACTGACTCCAAAGGGACATTTTGTGCTGGGGACTGAACCAGGCCCTTCACAACCGCCCTTTTGTAAAGGTTTTTGAGGCTGGGTCTCAGTAAATCACTGGATTGCCCAGGCTGGACTCCAGCCTGGGGTCCGCCTCCTGCCTCAGCCTCCCAGATTGCTGGGGTTAGAGGCCATATATAGATGCGCATGGGGAGGAGCGCGCTGCCCGGGAGGGGCCCGGCTGGGCTCCCTGTGCGTGTCGGCTGAGCCCCACCGCTGGGTGCAACAACTACGCGTTCGTTTTTCAAACCTCGCATTCAAGCTTCGAGGGAAGTGTGTCCCCGCCGCCCCCTGCGGAGGGCCACCGGGACCCGGGCTCGCCAGGGCGGGCGCACCTCGCGCAGCTCCGAGGAGCCTCTCTTCAGCTCTCCGGCCATGACCAGCACGGACTTCAGCGCGCGGAGCCCGAAGTCGTAGTGGTGCTGCTTGGACAGCTGCTCCCGCGCCAGCTTGTAGAGCACCGTCATCTTCTTGGCCAGCGACTGCGGACAGAACAGCAGAGGGGCGCTGCGGGGCGCTGC